TGTGTGTGTGTGTGTGTGTGTGTGTGTGTGTGTGTGTGTGTGTGTGTTTTCTCATTATTTTTTCTTTAGGAACTTGACTATGAGGAACCTGACAATGAGGAAACTTCATCTATTATAACTGATGAGAAAGGGAAAGAAAATTTGTTTGGGAGAGACCAGCAGGACCAGCAGGATATCCTTTCTGAAGATAAGAACAAACCTTTCAGCAGAGTTCAGGTAAATCAATAAGATAAATTGAATGAATTGTGATTTGTACTAGGTATTGCCAGTACTGTTGTACTGATTGAGGATTGTAGATTTAGCTTTTATTAAGTTGGACAAAGATTATAATTTCACATTTTATTCTAGTAATTTGCTTCACTGCCGTATCATTTTAAGATTATTTTAGGAACCTTTTGGAAAACTTAGAGTATTACTACTACCTCACATTCTATATTTGGTGTTTATGTTCACTTTTAGAAAGTAAAATTCAAAAATCCATTATTTGTTGTGATGGAAGAGGAAGAGCAAAAGCAGTTACATTTCGAGGGCCTTCAGGATATTCTGCCAGAAGCCCAGGATGATTTTCCAGAAGCTGAAGATGATTTGCTGGAAACCCAGGGTGATTTGAAAGGAATCCAGAGTGTTGAGCCAGATACCCAGGCTGTTGAGCCGAACGTTCAAGTTACTGAGCCAGAAGGCCAGGCCATTGAACCGGAAGGCCAGCCTGTTAAGACAGAAACTCATGGTATTAGGCTGAAAGCCCAGAGTACTGAGCTAGAAGAAGGGAGTATTGTATTGGAAACTCAGGATTTTCCACCCCCAAATCAGGTTTTTCTGTCTGAAAACCAGGATGTCTTACTCAAAGGCCACTGTGTTCTCCCTAAAGACCAGAATATTCTACTCAAATATCAGGACCAGGACTTCATACCCAGAGACCAGCATGTTCTCCCCAAAGACCAAGATATTCTGCCAAAATATCAGGACCAGGATTTTCTACCTAAAGACCAGGATTTTTTATCTAGAGACCAGCATGTTCTCCCCAAAGACCGGAATATTCTACCCAAATGTCAGGACCTGGATTTTCTACCCAGGGACCAGCATGTTCTTTCCAAAGACCAGAATATTCTACCCAAATGTCAGGACCAAGATTTTCTACCAAAATATCAGGTAAAATAGAGTGGAAAGGAGATTGAAAAAAGAAGAAATAAGCTACTTAGGGTTTGGAGTGGGATTTGTAAGGACTACAAGTATACCTTGGAGATATTGTGGGTTCAGTTCTAGGCCATTGCAATAAAGCAAATATTGGAATAAAGTAAGTCACACAAATTTCTTGGCTTCCCAGTACATATAAAAGTTATGTTTATACTATACTGTACTCTATTAGTGTACAATAGCATAATGTCTAAAAAAAGTACATACCTTAATTTAAAAATACTTTATTGCTAAAAAATGCTTACAATTAATCTGAGTCTTCAGCAAGCCATAATTTTTTTGTTGGTGGAGGGTCTTGCCTCAATGTCGATATCGGCTAACTAATCGGAGTGGTGATTACTGAAGTTTGGGCTGGCTGTGGAAGTTACTTAGGACAGTAATGAAGTTTGCCACATCATTTGACTCTTCCTTTCATGAAAGATTTCTTTGTAGCATGTGATAATGTTTGATAGCATTTGATCCACAGTAGAACTTCTTTCAGAATTGGAATCAGCTCCCTCAAACCCTGCCACTGCTTTATCAAGTAAGTCTGTGTAATATTCTAAACCCTTTGTTGTCATTTCAACAATGTTCGCAGTAGATTCCATCTCAAGAAAACATTTTCTTTGCTCAGCCTAAGAAGTAACTCTTCATCCATTTAAGTTTGAACACGAGACTGGAGCAATTCACTCACATCTTCAGGCTCCACTTCTAATTCTAGTTCTCTTGCTGTTTCTACTACATTGCAGTTACTTCCTTCACTGAAGTCTTGAATGCCCCAAAGTCCATGAGGGTTGGAATCAACCTCTTTCAAACTTCTGTTAAAGTTGATATTTTGGCCTCCTCTCATGATTCGTGAATGTTCTTAATGGCATCAAGAATGGTGGACCCTTTCCAGAGGGTGTCAAATAAACTTTGCCCATGTCTATCAGAGGAATCACTCACTGTCTATGACACACATGGCCTTATGAAATGTGTTTTATAAATAAGAAGACTCAAAAGTCAAAATTATTTCTTGATCCACAAGCTACAGAATGGATGTTGTGTCAGCAGGCATGAAAACAACATTAATCTCCTTATATGTCTTCATCATAGCTCTGGGGCAACTGGGAGCATTGTCAATGAGCAATTTAAAAGGCATCTTTTTTTCTTTTTGGATCAGTCAGTCTCAACAGTTAAGCGTAAAATATTCTGTAAACCATGCTGTAAACAGATTTGCTGTCATCTTGGCTTTGTTATTCCCTTTACAGAGCACAAGAAAAGTAGATTTAGTATCATTCTTAAGGGCCCTAGGACTTTTGGAATGATAAATGAACACTGGCTTCAACTTAAAGTCATCAGCTGCATTAGCCATCAACAAGAGAGTCAGCCTGTCCTTTGAAACTTTGGCCAGACATTGACTTTTTCTCTCTAGCTGTGAAACTCTTACTCATCTTCTTCCAGTATAAGGTTATTTTGTCTACACTGAAATCTGTCTGGCATGGCCACCTTCATTAGTAATCTTAGCTAGATCTTTGGGATAACTTGCTGCAGCTTCTACATCAGCACTTGCTGTTTCACCTTGCCCTTTGATGTTATAGAGACAGCTTTTTTCCGTAAACCTCATGAACCAACTTCTGCTAACTTCCAACTTGTCTTCTGTAGTTTTTTCAACTCTCTTAGTCTTTATAATATTGAAGAGAGTTAGGGCCTTGCTCTTATCAGGCTTTGGCTTCAGGAGATATTGTGGCTGGTTTGATCTATTCATACCTCTAAAACATTTTCCATGTTGGCAATAAGGCTCTTTTGCTTTCTTATCATGTATTCACTGGAGTAGCTTTTAATTTCCTTCAAGAATTTTTCCTTTGCTTTCACAATGGGGCTGTTTGGTACAAGAGGCCTAGCTGTCAGACTGCCTTGGCTTTCAACAGGCCTACTTCACTAAGCTTAATAATTTCTAGCTTTTGCTTTAAAGTGAGAGACATGTGGTTCTTTCTTTTGCTTGAATACTTAAGAGGTCATTGTAGGGTTATTAACTGGCCTAATTTCAACATTGTTGTGTCTCAGTGAATAGGGAGGCCTAAGGAAAGGCGAGGGCATGACCAGGTGGTAGAGCAGTGAGAACACATACATTTATCAGTTAGGTTTGCTGTCTTACATGAGCGTGGTTATGGTACCCCAAAACAATTAGGATAGTAACATCAAAGATCACTGATCACAGATCACCAATCACCATACCAAATATAATAATAATGGAAAAGTCTGAAATATTGTGAGAATTTCCAAAATGTGACACAGAGACATTACGCAAGCACATGCTGTTGGAAAAGTGACGCCAATGGATTGGCTTGACGTATGGTTGCCACAAACCTTCAGTTTGTGAAAAACAATATCTGCAAAGTATAATAAAACCAAGTATGCTATATATTGTACCTGATTTGGAGATCCACACTTGGAAAAAACCAGTTTCTTGATTGGTCTCTTAAAACTCCAGTGCTCTTACTAAGTGTTAAAGTATTATCAGCATATTACTGCAAATGAACAATTTGCTGTTTCTTTTCTTTTCTTTTTTAAAATCAACACTCTACTTAGATTTTATGAACAATTTAATTTTTTATTTTTAATCTTCTTCATTAGGAAAAATATTTCTGGCAGTCATTATCTGCTTAGACAGCTGAAAGGCGGAAAAAGGAGTGGCCCATAAGTACTCAGCAGTATTTTTCACACAGGTTCCCGGGCCAGCTCTCCACCAGAGATCAGTTAGACTAAAAGGAAGAAGAAAGAGAGCAATAGGAATTAGATTACTTAGGGCTGTAGTTGGACTTTTGTGGAATGTAGTATAGTTTTTTGTTTTATTCCATAAGGTGCCTAATTATATTCTGATCTCAGTTAACTCCAGAATTCTCACTAAAGCCTGAAGTCTTAACCTGTCATTCTTAACTGAACAATTGATATTTTGTGTTTCTTCCTTTTTAGAAAGCAAATCTGAAGCAGCCAATATCCATTTTGATAGGTAGGAGAGGGAGAGAGGTGCCTTCTCTGGATGTCCATCAGGATCTTCTATGCAGGCATCATCAGGCCTCCATCGGGGGCAAGGTAGAAAAGGAAAAGTACAGAGACCAACAGGGACCAGATTGTTTAGTTTGAAGCTTTCAAAGGTTATTCCCAGCTATACTTCAGAACTGACAAAAAATACGCATTTCTGTTTTATTCCATAATGTTTTATATTATCCTGAAAAAAACCATGCTTTGGTCTTCAATGAAGCCTAGAGTATTACTGCCATCATGTTACTCTTACTAGACAGTTTCTAGTTTTATGATAATTTACTCTTTTAGAAAGTACACTTTAAGGAGTCATACTCTGATATGACAGTTGAGAAAGGGAGAGAAGACTTTTTTTTCTGGCAGATTATCAGTGTCTGCCTCCCAAATCCCAGGACCACGATAACATCAGAAATCAGGTAGAGCAGAATAAAAAAGATAGGAAGAAAGTACCCGGGTTTTATAAATCCCAAGCGGTAATTTAGAATGAGGGACTTTGGAGCTAACCTAAGAATATAGTGTTTGGTTTTTTCAGACGGAGCCTTGTTCTGCCACCCAGGCTGGAGTGCAGTGGCACAATCTTGACTCATTGCAAACTCCGCCTCCTGGGTTCAAGCGATTCAGCCTCCTGAGTAGCTGGGATTACAGGCACACACCAGCACGCCTGGCCAATTTTTTTTTTTTAGTAGAGTTGGGGTATCAACATGTTGACCAAACTGGTCTTGAACTCCTGACCTCAGGTGATCCACCCGTGTCTTCCTCCCAAAGTGCTGGGATTTCAGGCATGAGCCACCATGCCTGGCCAAGATATAGTATTTTTTATTCCTTCCTACATTAGTGGGAAGATGGTCCTAAGTCCTTTTAGAACAGAGGCCCTGCTTCAGGAGCATACAGTGTTAAATCCTAAACAGTTCAGTTCTTCCTGATCTCTCCTCTTTTTTTTTTTTTCTCTTCTACTTTGTATTTCAGTGGTACAAAAGACCCTCGTCTAGGGAACAATATGAGTCAAAATCAGTTCTGTGATTTCTAAGGCTGATGTATCACATTCATATCTTATTCCAGAATCAGTGACTATTTTAACAATATTATTCTTTAACTCTTACTAGAGACAACAGTCTCGCTGCAAGCATAATGCCCCTACATGAACAATGTAGGAACTAGCAGATACTTAAGATTTGGTGAGTTTGTCAGATTATTCTGTCCATGGATGGAATTAAGAATTAAGGTCTGCATAGTTGAGCTAAAAGTGTAACATCATCCTCATATCAAAATGTATGAGCATATTTTTACTTGGTTTCATTTCTCTGGAGTTTTCACTGAAGCTTATGATATTATGATTAGCGTTACACAACTTTTTTTTCCTGTCGTTGTTTTTCCTTTAAAACATGTTTCTCAACAATCTGTATCTTTTAGTGAGAGAAGAGAGAGTGAGAGGAATTGCTTCTGAACTATCACCAATATGTTATACCTAAAATTCAGGACCAAGACTCCCCTAGAGAACAGAATACAGTAGGAAGACTGTATACTTTCTAAAAGAGGAACAAGGCTAAATTACATAACATTGAGGCTGAAGCCTGTCAAGCTAGTTTGTTTGTGGGATACATAGAATTAAGGCCTTCAGAATTAAGCTAAGAGTGTAATGTTTTTGGTTATTTCAAAATGTGCCAGAATAATCTGGAATTCACTTTAAAATACTCCAGGAAAAACACTGGAGAAGAGACAGATGAAAAAGCAAAATGTTGCTAATTGTTGAATCTGGGTAATTGTTGAACCTTGGGATTCATTATACTGTTTTTGTTTTTTTCTGCTTTGATGCATGTTTGGAAATTTTTATACTGAAAACAAACCACACACACACACACTTTTAGCTGTGTTCTGTTATCCTCACCTAGTGTCATTACTCTGGGATTGCCACCGCGGTCTATAATATTGTCATTAGCCCATCATTTCTGCTTAGACAATCAGTTTTGTATTTTGTTGTTCCTTTAGAGCAAGCATGTCAAACCACCCTCATCTTTTGAGAAATGGAAGATTGCAAGAAGAAATACTCCTGGAGTGCCATTGGTATGTTTCACCCAATATTCAAGATCTAGTGTCTCCTAGAGAAGTAGAGCAGAATATAGTGAGTAAGTGGCAGAGTATAAATTGCTTAGGTTTTGGTTCAAGATTGACAGGGCAATGTAACTGCTTCAGGAGTTTAGTGTTAAGTTCAGCAATAACAGGCAAAGAATATAGTGGTTTTTTCTTCTGTGATCCGTCACACCATTCTGACCTATTGAAACTACTTCAGTCTTCTCCACTGAAGTTTTTACTACTGCTACAGGAATGATGTTCCTGCTTAGATAATTTATGTTCAGTGTTTATATTGTCTTTTAGCACAGGAACTATGAGCAGGCCTTGCATGATACGACAGATAAGAGATGGAGAAAACTTTCAGAGCACCATGGATATATTTTACATGAAAGCCAAGAAACAGACTCTGCCAGAGAGCAGGTAGAGCAGGGTATAGTAAAGAGTAAGCAGCAGAAAGCAAATCAGAGTTTGGGCAGGGCTTGTCAGAGCTTCCATTACCAAAAAAGATCATGATGATCATGTTATCTGTTATTAATATTAGCAATAGTATTAATATTATTATGAATAACAGCTTACATTCATTGAACACTTAACCACAGCCAAAATGGTTTTAGAATTTTTTATGAAGTATCTTATTTGATTTTCATAATAACCATAGAAGATAGATACTATTATTATCCTTGTTTTATAGATGAAATTTAAGATTGCTTTGCAGGTAGAGTTAAGATCCAGAATGGTGACAAGAAGTATAATGTCTACTTCTATGCCATAATATATCAGGCTATTCTGACTTATTTAGATTATTATCCTAATTCTAAGATTATTTTATGTCTCTCATTGAAACCTATGGTTATTTTGGGAAGCATTTGTTGCCCATTTGAAAAACTATATTTTATTTGTATTTTTATAAAAGGTATATTTCTGATGGCCATTGTCTTTTACAGTGTGAGAGGGGAAGAAATGAGCAGTTTCTGAGGGGCAGGGGTTATGAGGATCTTCTACCCCATGGCCAGGATTAGATCTCCATCAGTAAGCTGGTAGAGCATAAGGCAGGATTGCTAAGAAATAAACTAATCAGGTTTGGGCTGAAGCTTGTTAGGTTTCTCTTGCCTAAGGTTTGGGGTCATTGAGTTAAGATCTGTAGTTTTTCAAGAAAATGTTACAATATCCTGGCCTATTAAGATTTTTCTGTGGCTTAAATGAAGTTTACTTTATTGTCGCTGGAATTTTGCTCCTCTCTGGATAATTTTTATTTTCCGATTCTAAGTTTTTAAAAACAAAGGCTTAAGGCCACCAGCAGAGTTAGGCTGTATGAAAGAGATTGAAGAGAAATTTTCTCTTGACCTCTTTGAGAGAGCAGAATTCAAGGGCAAAGAAGCAGAAAATAGAGTTTGGGCTGAGGTTTTCAGGACTAAACTACAGCTCTTTGTGATTTTTAGTTTGGGTCTATAAGGTTGGCCTAACGGTATGGTGCTTTGTTTTAGTCTGCATTGTCGTTTATATATCCTGAGCCTTGCCAGGCTCTCTCCTACCTCAGGTCTTTTGCATATGGTTTTTCCTCTTGTCTGGGTAGTCTACCCTTTTTTCTTCATGAAGTTGGTCCCTTCTTATCCTTGAGGTTTCAGCTTAAATGTCACCTTCTTGGAAAATACCGTCCTCACCACCTTATCAAAAATAGATCTCCCCTTTTTTGTTTGTCTCTATGCTTGCATTCTATTTGTTTCCTTCTCAGTACAAAACAATTTGTAGTTATTTATTAATTTACGTGTTTTTGTATTGTCTAGAGTTTCCCACTAACCCATAAGCTTCATGAGAGAGGTACCATACCTGTTTTGTTTACCATTATATGAACAGTGCTTGGCACAGTGGCTGGTACCTAGCAGTCACTCGGTAAATATGTTTTGAATGGATGAGCCAGTCAAACATCTATTGAGCACCTTTACTTTTAGGTATTTGCCATTGTTTAAGCACTAAATATCAAAGATACAGCTGTGAGCAAGACACAGCAGTCAAATTTCAGGCAATCTAAAGAAAAGAGACTGATACATAAGCATAATTATGAAGCAGTGTAATTAGTGATAGAGGATGCATGGGGCATTCACAAAGCCCACGAGAGGGGTACTTACTCTAGACCGCTCAATTCAGGATACAGCTTTGGTGGTCTCAATCTCTTCTTGTCCTTCTGCTGTTACTATCCCTGGAAATTTTCAACCCTGGAATAGCCTTTTCTCCTTTTTTTTGAGACAGTCTCACTCTGTCACCCCGGGTGCAGTGCAGTTGTGCGATCTTGGCCCACTGCAGCCTCCTCCTCCCAGCTTCAAGTGATTCTCGTGCCTCAGCCTCTTGAGTAGCTGGGACTACAGGCATGTGCGACCACGCCTGGCTAATTTTTGTATTTTTTAGTAGAGACGGGGTTTTATCATGTCTCTGGGCTGGTCTCGAACTCCTGACCTCAAGTGATCCACCTGCCTCGGCCTCCCAAAGGTGCTGGGATTACGGGTGGGAGCCACTACACCCGGCCATCTTTTCTCCCTTTATGTTGCCAAATAATCCAGCCTCATTGAACAAAACACTTCAATAGTATAGATTTGTACCACATTCATACTAAGGGTTTCCAGTCACAGCTGGGTTCCCAGGGCTGCTTAGCATTTTTTCCTGCTTATTCCCTAGCACCTTACTCTCCAGTGCCCTACACTGACAGTTCTAAATCTTAAACACTCCTTAAGCTTCTTGCTGCACCCCCATATTCTCAACTTTCATACAGAAAATAAAAGCTATCACACACTACCTTAACCATTTACTTTTTCTGGTTGCTGTTATTACTTCTTACTATCTCAGAGGAAAAGTTTTCTCTTCAAGGCCCCACCTGCTAATTCTCTCCTTTCAAAGTTAATCACTATCAAGAGTTGTGTGCGTCCTTCGAGTCCTCTTTATAAGCACTTATACAGATGTACATATAGACACTTTTAAAAAATTGTGATTAAAATATACATAACATAAAATTTCCCATTTTAATCCTCTCTAAGTATACAGTTCAGTGGTGTTAAGTACACTCACATTGTTATGCAACCATCACCACCATTCATCTCCACAGTTTTTTTTTTCATCTTGTAAAACTGAAACTATATACACATTAAACAATAATTTCTCAGTCTCTTCTCCCCATGTTCCTGGCAACCACTATTCTACTTTCTGTCTTCATGAATTTGATTATTCTAGGTACCTCATATGAGTGAAGTCATACAGTATTTGCCGTTTTGTGACTGCCTTATTTCACTTAGCATAATGTTATAGCATATTGTAGGAGTTACTTCCTTTTTAAGGATGAATAATATTCCTTTGAAATGCATATACTACATTTTGAATCCATTTTTCCATTGACTGTTCCACAATCAGTTTTCTCTGTTCTAGACCTTCCTCTACAGTATGAATCTTATTGTGTAAGGTTCATTTTACTCAGCATAATGTTTCTGAGATTCATTCATGTTGCTGCATCAATAATGTGTTCTTTGCATTGCTGTGTAGCATTCCATTATTTGAATATATCACAGTTTGTTTATTTAATCTCCTATTGATGGACATTTGTGTTGTTTCCTGTTTGTGGCTATTTGGTACTGGGAATGGGGTGTTGCTACAACAAATATCTAAAAACTGTGGAAATGGCTAAAAAATGGGTAATGGATAGAGGTGAAGAATTTTGAGGCCCATGACAGAGAAAGCCTGTATCATTTATAAAATTATTATTTTTTCAGTCTCACTTGGTTGCCGAGGCTGGAGTGCAGTGGCACAATCATAGCTCACTGAAGCCTCAGTGGGTGACTCAAGTGATCCTCCTGCCTCAGCCTCCTGAGTAACTAGGACTACAGGTGTGTGCTACCCACGCTTGGCTAATTTTTGTATTTTTGTAGAGATGGGGTCTTGCCGTGTTGCCTGCTCTGGTCTTGAACTCCTGGCCTCAAGTGATCCTCCTGCCTTAGCCTCCCAAAGTATTAGGATTACAGATGTGAGCCACTGCTCCTGGCCATCATTTTGGAGATATCTTTGTTGTTATAAGCAAAGTATTGGTTGAAATGTGTACATTAAAGAAACTGCCACCTGGTGTGGTTGGCTCATGCCTATAATCCCAGCACTTTGGTAGGCTGAGGTGAATGGATCACTTGAGACCAGGAGTTCAATACCAGCTTGGCCAACATGGTGAAACCCCGTCTCTACCAAAGATATAAAAATACGCCAGGCATGGTGGCATGTACCTGGAATTGCTGCTACAAGAGTGGCTGAGGCATAAGAATCACTTGACCCTGGGAGGCAGAGGTTGCAGTGGCTGAGGTTGCACCATTGCACTGCAGCCTGGGTAATAGAGCAAGACTCTTGTTTAAAAAAAAAAAATACTGCCAGTGAAGCTCAAGGAAATGAGGAACATGTTATTGGAAACTGGGTGAAAGATATTCCTTGTTATTTAGTAGTAGGAAGCTTAGTTAAATTGTGTTCTATAGTTGTATGGAAGGCAGAACTTGTAAGCAATGAACTTGGAAATTTAGCTGAGATTTGCAAGCAAAGTGTTAAAGGTACAGTGTGGTTTCTTCTTGTCCCTCCTCAGAGAGGCTGCCAGAGTCTGTCTGGAATCTCTCTCCCCATCTTGTGTACTAGAAATTATTCAGGCAGTAAGCTGGGGCAATTGTTATGCTGACTACATTTGTTTCCTATCTGTGAGGAATAACTATACTGTGCTTCCTTATAGCCAGTGTATGAAAACCATTCTTTTATAGATTTTTTTTGTTTTTTATTTTTTCACTCTTCAGGCAGGAAGATAAATTTCCGTTCTATTATTGCATTGTGGCCTCAAGCAGAAGTCTCTTTATTTAAATATTATTTAATTTCATTCTAATTGATCTGTTATCTTTTTGGCTCTATCTCTTCATCTTATCTTATAATAGTTGCTCTGAAGATTACAGTATACATACCAAACCTTTCACAGTCTACTTTGAGTTAAT